CGTTGCTGAAATGATTGGGCCGTATCATAGAACATTTCCCCATTCACTCTTGTGACCAGAGACAACAAACAAATATATATTAATTTATGCAACTTTATGTAATATCCATTAATTTAGAGACAAATAAACAAACAGTATTCCATAGATCTTTATACTTTTTGTAGATTTCCATATTTAAAACGTTATTATTTGCATTAAAGCATTGTTTTTGCACTTAATATTCCATTGTTTAGTTGAGTTGCTGTACAAATTGTTCACAAGGTTTTGGTGCAGGGACGGGGGCGGTCGGAAAACAGGGGGCGGGGGGAGTGTTTAATACTTGTGCGAACTGGTGAAACGTCGGGGGTAAGAACAAAAAAGCAAGAGGAAAAAGAACGGGGGAGCAAACGAAAGTAACACACGGGGGCAATTGTTAATTTTTGTTGGAATGCTACGATTCTTTATGCGAAAATGATTAGACAAATTATAAACGATTCAAAGAGCACACACTTAAAACCTAACAAAAATAGTAAACTTTAACAAATGAAACTGAAGGACAGTGTGTAAAGAAGGCGGTAGTAACGACAATCATTAAGCAATTCAATTTATGTACATTGCAAGACGGGACATCAATACTAAAACACACTTTAGAGTAGGCTTGCTCGCTTGGACGATATTTAACTAGTTATTGTTTTGGCTACGCTGGGGCGCTCCGAGATACACAAGTCCGGGTTCTCAACGCAGGTTAGATATTTTGTGGTTGTATTGTGGTTTATGTATATATAGACGCATACACAGCGGGATATTGCAGGAGGTGGAGACGCGCCGCACGATGCGCCGCCGCCAGCTTAAATTATGAATGAAACAAAATTTTGGACAAAAATCAAAAACAAAACGATAAACAGAATCTAATGGCGCGAGTCCCTAGGGTAGAATTCGGCCAGGATGGAGGCCGGAATACGCTTGAGCATCTCCTTGGGGAAGATGCGCAGCAGCTGCCAGCCGATGTCCAGGGATTCGAAGACAGTGCGGTTCTCGTAGTTGCCCTGCAAGAGTAAGGGGCGCAATTTACAAACCAGTCAGCCATTAAACACCTGCTTCAACTCACCTGCGAGATGAAGTTCTTCTCAAACTTGGTCAAGAACTCCAGATACAGCAGATCGTCGGGCGTCAGGGCCTCCTCGCCCACCACAGCCTTCATGGCCTGCACGTCCTTGCCGATGGCGTAGCAAGCGTACAGCTGGTTGGACACATCGGAGTGGTCCTTGCGGGTCATGCCCTCGCCGATGGCGGACTTCATCAGACGCGACAGCGACGGCAGCACGTTGACTGGTGGGTAGATCTGCCTGTTGTGCAGCTGACGATCGACGTAGATCTGTCCCTCGGTAATGTAACCGGTCAAATCGGGAATGGGATGGGTAATATCGTCGTTGGGCATGGTCAGAATGGGGATCTGGGTGATGGAGCCGTTGCGACCCTCCACACGTCCGGCACGCTCGTAGATGGTGGCCAAATCGGTGTACATGTAGCCGGGGAAACCACGACGGCCGGGCACCTCCTCACGGGCGGCGGACACCTCACGCAGGGCCTCGGCGTACGAGGACATGTCGGTGAGGATGACCAGCACGTGCTTCTCGCACTGGTAGGCCAAGAACTCGGCGGCGGTCAGGGCCAGGCGGGGAGTGATGATGCGCTCGATGGTCGGATCGTTGGCCAAGTTCAAGAACAGGCACACGTTCTCCATGGAGCCGTTCTCCTCGAAGTCCTGCTTGAAGAAACGGGCCGTCTCCATGTTGACACCCATGGCGGCGAACACGATGGCGAAGTTGTCGGTGTGGTCATCCAGCACCGACTTGCCCGGCAGCTTGACGAGACCGGCCTGACGACAGATCTGGGCGGCGATTTCGTTGTGCGGCAGACCGGCGGCGGAGAAGATGGGGATCTTCTGGCCACGGGCAATCGAGTTCATCACATCGATGGCCGAGATACCGGTCTGGATCATCTCCTCGGGGTAGATACGCGACCAGGGGTTGATGGGCTGGCCCTGGATGTCCAGGAAGTCCTCGGCCAGGATTGGGGGTCCCTTGTCGATGGGCTTGCCGGATCCGTTGAACACACGGCCCAACATGTCCTCGGACACGGGCGTGCGCAGGATGTCGCCGGTGAACTCGCAGAGCGTGTTCTTGGCATCGATGCCGGAGGTGCCCTCGAACACCTGCACCACGGCCTTGGAGCCGCTCACCTCGAGCACCTGGCCGGAGCGCACGGTACCGTCAGCCAGACGCAGCTGCACGATCTCGGCGAACTTGGGGAACTTGACCTCATCGAGGATGACCAGGGGACCGTTCACACCGGACACCGTCTTGTAGGCTGTGGGAGAAAAAGAGTTTTAAGGATTAACATTATTGCATGCGTTTTTGAAAGAAATGTTTGGAAATGGAGGAGCGTTTTGGAAAATATTTGCCATGTGGATAACCTAACCGCTGAATGATTTTAGACTTAAATGTTAAATGAAAGAGTTTCTTATCTTATCTTTCCAATCGAAATTCAGCAAAAGAAAATAAGTATTTACATTTTTCATATTATTTTGTTGTGCGAATAACATTAAATCGAGATATATCCTAAATTTATTTATTTTTAATTATTATGCAAAATTCTTTAATTGATAATAATTAATGTCATATTAATTTTCTTTTCCGTGTAGTCATGTGGCTACCACCATTATTTCTGCATTATTTTAAGTTCTCTATTTTAAAACAATCAACATTTTAGAAATTACAGAAAATACCTATTTGTAATAATATTAAAATTACATTAGCATAAAATCTCTAAAAAAATTAATTTTTTTGCAAATATAATTTGAGTAAGCCTTCAGAAAATAAAAACCGGAATTCAGTTTTGCTGTTTCATAACGATGTTCAGTAAGTCATTAATTGAATCACTGAAATAATCATAAATAAGGGGATTTTATTTCAAGAAATTATGTGTTCTTTTTCATAACTTCGATTTAAATATTAAATACCCAAGGTAAGATAAACTTTCAGGGATTTTGTATTTTCCTACATTATTTCTAGTTTACTAAATCTTACATCCCAATAATAACCAATATTAAATTAATTAAATTGGTGGCACATTTCTACATTCTACTTCCAACTAAATTTCGTTACAACAAAAACACGAGTCTCGCAGTGCTCACATGAAAGTAGGAATCTGATAAGAAAGCAAACGTCAAAAGACAAGCGGATGGGCGAAAGGGGGTGTTGGCGGGGGTGGGGAGGGTAAATTATGTCAGCTGACTGTCTAACTGGTTTTTAGCCCTTGCCACGAGCTGCAGTGGGAATCTTAGAAGAAATAGATAGCAAAAGGGGGAGTGAAAAATGCAGGGACAAGATAAAGATAAAGTGGAAAAAACAAGCAAATCAAACTGCAAAATCACGTAAGATGTTTTTTAACTATTTTTTTTTGCAATATTTTTGTGACAAATAATATTACTATTAAGAGTGATCTATCTCAAAGGGCACTATAATTTACCCACAAATTACATTCTAATTTACGAGTGCCTAAAATAATAATAAAATTGACACCCTCGATAAAAAGTAGTTAAAATGCGGCGGACCTATCGCCCGTTCCGCCTCCCACCCCGTTCGCAGTCAGGTGCCTTGAGTGTGTGCGCTCTGAATGGCAAAAGCAAACAGCTGAGCAGCGAACGGTCATGTGACGGCGAAAATTTTCAATAAGCGTTAACGATGATTACGGGGGGTGCTCTTGGGTGTAGATAGAAAACTTGGGATCACTTTTCAACTGCATGGAAAACATTATTCATATTAGTTAACTAAGAATGCCAGGCAGTCTGCTTGTTTTTAGTGGGTGTCGCAAGAACTTATTGATTTCTTTCTCTACTCTCCGCCTCACACCAGATTCGTGCAAACTGTCATGGCGGCGGTCCCAATTGGGCTTTTTTTCTTTCGATTTATCCGCCACTTGCAGTGCATTTTCCACGCATTTCACTAGTTTCGATCTATTTTCTATACTCACTCAAGCGGGGCTGGGAGATAAAGTCCCGGGAGACGGCGAGGACATGTTCCCGCTGGGCTTGTTGGGCGTTCATCTTGGATAGACTTTTTCTGCGCCTCCTCTACCTTGAAAGTGCACTGCGAATTTCGAGCTGTAACAAATGAATCGGGTTTAACTTTTGCCACTTTCAAATTATTTATATTTTACTAGATTGCTTCAGTTGAGAACGTACAATTTTTCAGCTACGAAACAGTACTGAGCGACACACACGCAAAATTTTGGCCTGCGAAGTCGTTGCGAGTGCGAGGAAAAATTGCCCTGGAACTGAAAAGTATTGCTGAATGTGAATCTGCTGTGACGTCACGTGCCATCACATGACCCGCCAGGCGTTAGGGATTTCTGGCTTCTAGTTATTTCTAACACTGGTTAAAAGTGTGGCAAAGCGTTTAAAATGACATTCCCAGGGAAATCCAACATTGCGCCAAAAATTAAAACTTAAAGAAAAGCGAGACATAACCGAAATGCATAGAATATTGGAAATAAAAACGGGAAACGGCCAAGGCATGCAGTTTCCTGGAGAAGCAAAGGATCTCTGCACAGCCCAGAAGTAAGTATTTATTATATTATTATTATTATTTATTTATTCTATTTAAAATGAACATATTCTAGCTAACTAATTAGTTTGATCATTATTATTGTACCATAAATATTACCTTGCAGAGCTTTTCAAGTTTATTCAGAAGCTGCAAAGCAGTGAAAGATACTTTTTTAATCAACATTTAGTTCTTTTCAGGTAAAATAAACCTCTTCCTTTGACGACGAATCATATTTAAAATTTGTTCTACATTGTAATAAACAATAAAATCGTATCTGCTATCATTTGTCTTGTAATCTTTCTTTAAATTCAAATCAGTTCAATTTTTGCGCCAAAAAACTCGAGCAATACACCCCACAGGGTGTTTTTAACCCACCTAGCGTTGCCACCTCCGCCGACCGTCATCGATAGACGTCATAATCGATAGGCCTGCATGTTAGTGCACAGAGCGCTGTTAATTATTGGAAAGTTTTTTAATGGAACAATTTTAATTAAATTACAATAGTTGTTTACACACTGCGGCAGTTGGGCACATCCCGAAAAAAGCGAGTACTACGTGGGGACAGCGATTGCACAGCGGAAGCAGCCAACGGAAGCCTGCGGGACGTGCGACAAAGAACACAAAGCGACCGAAGACAGGGGCAGTGCAAAACCCGTTTCTTCTTGCGCCCGATAAAAAGGGGCGTCTATATCTCTTGCGATCCGGAGCCCCTGGCATCGCAGCACTATGATGGTTGAGTCCGATGGAACCGCCGACGCCACCCGCCGCCTCAATGTGAAGAAGCAGACGCTGGACGATGCGTACGCGGTGCCCGCCAACTTCCTGGAGATCGACGTGGTTCATCCGCTGACCACCATGGCGGCGGGCAAGAAGCGCTACACGGACTACGAGGTCCGGATGCGGGTGAGTGATCTGTGATCTGTTCGTGATCCAGGGGGAGTACCTTCCGAAACTCTGGCCAAGCCGAAAAACCATTGAAAATCGCTGGAATTTGCACACACACTCGTGCATGTACGTGCGACTTTGTCTCGCTCTGCGAGTGTGTGCGAGTGTGTGTGTGTGTGTGGGTGATACGCCTATAAAGCGACGAACCGGGCGATAAACATTAGTCACAAGTGCAGGGCACTGATTCCGGGTCTTGAGTCACGGATGTCCGCCATGCGGGCGCCTTAATTAAACCTTAATTTCCTCATATAACTAATCACCTATTATTTTATTCCATTCCAGACCAATCTGCCCGTCTTCAAGGTGAAGGAGTCCAGTGTGAGACGACGCTACAGCGACTTTGAGTGGCTGCGGAACGAACTGGAGCGGGACAGCAAGGTGCGGATATATCCTCAGATTCTCTATTTTCACTTTCACTGAGTTAGCTAGGATTAGCCTTAGAATAGGATATATTTTTGGTCCCTCTAAATGGCCAGAAATATTGATAAATAGGACCACAAGACAGGCTTTTAAAGTATCATATTAACTAGCATTACTTTAGGAAACTCAATTTTCTCATTATTATCAAATTAATTTAAATTCAGCTTCAGAACAGTTTGCCAGAAATTTATATTTAGTAATTTTTTAATATTTAAAAAGTCATTGGAGTCCTAAGCTCTTTAGGGATTTCAGTTTTCTCGCAGTACTTATAAGCCACTTAATTCCCAAGGGATTACAAATTATAGTCCCACAATTCTGTTTAAAACTATGACATACACTCATATCTGAATGATTTATAGTACCATTAATTTGACTTTTTTTGCATTGCCGCCAGATGCCTTTTTTCCCTTGAGCAAAAAGAAAGAAAATCGATTTATAAATTTTTTAGCTGTTCAAATTTTGATTGCTTTGCCAATTCATGAAATACTAAGCAAAAGTAAATTAATTTTGGATTCCTTATCTCTAAGAAGCCACTGGAATCGCAGCGATAGTATATTTGTGTATAAGTGAAAGTGAAAACGAATGCTCGATAATATAAAACATAAGCAGAATTTATTCAAGTGCATTTCCCCCGCAGATTGTGGTGCCACCACTCCCGGGAAAAGCCTGGAAGCGCCAGATGCCCTTCCGCGGCGACGAGGGCATCTTCGACGAGAGCTTCATCGAGGAGCGGCGCAAGGGACTGGAGGCCTTCATCAACAAGATAGCCGGACATCCGCTGGCGCAGAACGAGCGCTGCCTGCACATGTTCCTGCAGGAGAACGTCATCGATAAGAACTACGTGCCCGGCAAGATTCGCAACACATAAGCAGCGGCGTCCGGAGCAATCGAAAACCCCAAATTATAGCAATGCAATGAAGCAACAACTCGAACGAACAAACCCGCTACGAAATCTTTAGGGAATCCGTGTGAATGTGTGTGCTTGGCCAGAGTGGAGAAGGAGGAGGGAGTCGAAGGGATCTGTTTATTATGCGACGCGATAAGAGGCGGGAAGTGCTGCTGCTCAGTTAATGTTGAGCCCCTCTCACCCCCCGGGGACTAGTTAAAAAGAAGCATTGGGAATTTTTAATGCTAAATTCAAGTTTATATGGTATACATAACAATATACATACATATATATATTATATACAATACAGATATTTACGAATAGTGTACATAAGACATGCCTACAGCGCCCCCTCGCTAAATGAGTCTCGAAAGTAGGAGCTGTCCCTCCCATTTTCCCGATCCTCAGTTTCTTCGGTTTGACCCATTGCAGCGGTAATGAAGCAGCAAATAAAATAAGGGAGCCATCCTGACCCCGAAAATCCATCCCTTGTAAGTGTACGCAAATTATTGAATATTTTGAAACAGTTTAGTGAATAATATTGTACTTCGAATCAAATTAAAATAATTCAAAAATAAGTCAAGTGATTTTTTGTGTAGTGTGTGGGGAGGATGTTATATAGAAATTTATTTATATGTTCGTAGTAAAATCACTGAAGCAATGCATTTAGTGCTTACATTGTAGATTATTTGATTTTCCGTAATTATCAATATGCGTTTGGGGGTATTTAAAATTTAAAACATTGGGAAATGAAATGGTGAGAGGATTGAGGACTTGGAAAATTAAATTAAATGATTACCTACTACTGTGTACATCAAAGTACACAGTTGAATAAACTTCAGTATAAAGAAAATTGAAATTAAAAAGTCAGATCCTGTCGGTTTGCTTCCTATAAAATATAACACGTAATCAAGAAAATAAATATGAACAGCTTGCGGCTCTTAATGAAGCGAAACTGTCTGGATCCCGATCCCAATGCCGTTGATCCAAAAAAAACTAAATATCATCAAAGTCTAGAATCAAATCGGTCAGACTGGTCATCCTTACAGTCGGAGGACGATGAGGAGGTGTCACTGGATCAAACGCTGGATCCCGACGACTTTGAATACCACGGAACTATTTATTTCGAGCCTCCAAAATGGAAGGGTCGCAAGCGGCGCAGGCAATCCTCTCCGGTGACACGTCCTAAAATTGTCTCCCTTGAATTGGGCAAACAAGTGGCTGTTGTTCGGGACATGCCACTGGATAATATCGCCCTGGAAGATGATGCAGAACTGAAGACGAACTTGCTCAAGTTTCTGGGTCTGATGGCGCCACGTCGCAGGCTGTATACCCCTGGGGAATACACCACTCCGGAATCGGAGGATCCGACTTTTACCGTCACTCATCCACTGAATAGTTCCACTTTCTCCCCCGCACAACCAATCAGTATCTCCTCCACCTGGTCAAGTCTCAATCTAGCAAATCTCCATCCACCGAACCCTGAGGAACTCACGGCCAAGAGAAAAACCAATATCCTTCTGCGGACCGAGGCCAAAATAAATGAGATGCAGACGTCGAATTTCCTCAAGGAGATTGATCTCAGCGAGCTGCCCACCAGGAGGCAGTTGGCCGCCATTTGTCGCCGGCACAAGAGCAACATCGCCTGCCTGGAGCGGCATCCACACTTCCACAGATTCGTTGAGTCGCTCCACCCGTCGGTCTCGATCAACATGTGCCATCCGCTGGCAGTCACCTACCGGGAGAGAAGCTTCGACAGCTGCAAGGGGGAACTGGCCAAGGTATTGTTCAACATCTTTAACCATGCAATCTTCCACTGCGGCCTCGTTGCACCAATCGTTTGGAAGCGCTCCTTGCGCTCATCCTGCAAAGGTGAGCTGACCATTAACTCCTCTGGAAAACGCTCTGCACGAATCCTGCTGTGGAAGAAGATAAGTCAGCCGGAGATGCTCATCAAAATGCTCCTGTATAAGATGTGCCAAGCGGCTGCATTTGTCTTCAACCGGGAGACGGGACACGGCGATCACTGTCGCAGATGGTAAGATGAATATCTTTGATCTTGAAAAGATTTCTATAGATAGTTAAAGGTCAAAGAATATTTCTACATCTTTTAGTGATATTTTTATATAGACCAGATAAGTCAGATATATTTAAGCATTAAATATACATATAATCGCGGATTACTTTCCCTATTTTAAGGGCCTACCAGGCGAAGAGGGCGATGCCGGAGCTGCCGGAGATTGTAGACTGCGATCCCAGCTTTAAGTATACCTGCTCCATGTGCGCCCGCTGGTCATATGGACGGATTGAATTCGAGGAGGATAGGATTCGCTGTCACTACTGCCAGTTTGAGGTGATCGTTAAACCATTTCGAAAAGCTGACAGGAACACGGGAACCCGACCGGATCGGAGTATTACCCCATTCAAGGCCTTCATCCGGAAAAACTACTTGAAGCTGAGCGAGAAGGGATATATATCCCATAGCTCGATAATGAGACTGCTCAATGAGGAGTACCGAAAAATGGGAGCTACTTCGAGTTAGAGTTCGAGAAATGTTCTTAATATTATACAGGCCGAGGCTGATGTGTACTTATTATTTTTAGAAAGTCATGGGATATGAATTTGCTTCGTTTAAAAATCCCGCGTTCTTATGGGATTAGGGATGCGAGCTATCGATAATAAAACATCGATAACAATTTTTGTAAATTAAAAATTTAAGTAATCTTTATTTCATTTAATTTGTAGTTCAGAATGTCAATTATTTTAATAAAAAACTGATTAATATTATTACCTAATATCTATAATTTACTATTGGCTTAAATATTTAATAACGATGACAAGTGGCAGCCCTGCGATAGTTATTGCCTGGCAACTCTGTGTCATCTGTGGATTGGATTCGGTTTTTTTGTTTTTATTTATTTTTGGCATGGACTCGGCGGAATCTCCCACCAAAACGCAGGCCGGCGAGGACGAGAACTACAGTCTGCTGTGCCAGGCGCACGAGCAGTTCAACAAGTGAGTGGGCGCCTGCTTGCACCGCGGGAATCGCATTCCTAACCGCCTTTCCGGCTCCTCCTTCTCCTTCTTCATTCAGCTCCGAGTTCGATCGCTGCCTGGAGCTGCTCCAGGAGCTGGAGACGCGTGGCGAGAGCAGCGGTCCCGTCCTGCGGCACAACCGGGCTGTGGTCAGCTACCACAAGACCGGGTGCACCCAACACTCCGTCCTGCTCAAGGAACTGGAGGCCCTAACGGCCGATGCCGATGCACCGGGCGAGGCGTCCAGCGGCCTGAGCCTCAAGCAGGGAGCCGCCGCCGCCACCGTGGCCCGGTACAATCGGGCGGTCATCTACTACCACCGCCACATGTTCGGAACGGCGCTGGAGAAGCTGGCTCCTCTAGTTGCCCGCCTGGAAGCTCTGGAGAAGGCGATGGCGGCGCTGGTGGCCACACTGCAGCTCCAGCTGCTGCTGGCCACGAATCAACTGAACCGTGCCGAGGCCTTCCTGGACTATTTGCAGTACAAGCTCAACCTGGTGGCCACGGCGCCCAGTAGCAATCCAACCGAGGAGCCGGCTGCCGTTGCCTCGGCTTCTCCGCCGGCGGCAACGCCCAGTTCAGTGGTGGCCACACCAGGAGGAGCAGTTGTGGAGGGTCCAGTGCCGGGTCTAGGCGGTAGCCTGCAGCTTTTGCAGCTCATAACGCTCGTGCTCAACAGAAAACCTGTGGTCATCCAGGAGGACGGCACGCCGGAGTACGCTGCTCTGAAGGCACAGCAGTACTACATAATGAAGGACTTCCAAATGGCCGCCAAGCAGCTGATGCGCATCAATAACGAATGCACCCAGGCGGGGTGAGTCTTGGCCATCACTAATTTATAACTTACAAGCTAAATATGTTTATTCCGCAGCACTGTAACCCCGCAGCTGAGCACTTGCATCGCCAACAACATGGGAGTGATCCACTTGAGAGTGCGCCACTATGCCATCGCCGCCAAGTTCTTCCAGAATGCCCTGAACTTCGACCAGCAGCTGGCGCGGAACTTGCGACAGAGCACGCTGCAAACCATGAGCTCGGCGCGGTCTTGCGAGATCCTCTACAACCTGGGCGTGGCCATGCTGCACCTGCGCCGCCCCAAGGAGGCTTTCCAGTGCTTCCTGGTGCCCGTCAAGCAGTTTCACAGCAATCCACGTCTCTGGTTGCGGATGGCCGAGGCCTGCATCATGGAACACGAGGCGGTGAGTTGATAACATGTAACATACATGCAGATATTATGTAACAAAAACCTTTAAAGGGTTTTGAAAGAACTTTAAAATGGCAATTAAGTAAAAATTAATTTTTATAGTATATATTTTCAATCCTTCTACCATTGAGCCCCATTTTTATTTACAAATCTTTATTTTAAAATATATTAATCAGGGAACGAAAATAACTGTTATTGTAAATTTTTCATACAAAAAAATCACGCACTTAGAAGGGTCCTAAAAATTTTTTAAATACACCACAATTTTTATTAGCCATTGTAGTTTACAAATCCGTAATGATTTTTATTTTTTGATTTTTATAATAAAACTCAAAAAATAACTGTTATTTTTTGATTTTTATGAATAACAGTTATTCCTTTGACATTTTTGAAAAAATGAAATAATTAAAAAAAAACATGATACCCGTGCTTTTTATAACTTACTAAAAATTGGTTTAAAAAGGCAACCGCGCATATTTTATACCTATATTTTTTTAAAATTTTGTTTACCCACAAAATTGCCATAAATCAAGTTTGAGTTTTATTTTTGATCACGACGAATAACTGTTATGTGTCAACTTTTATTATAAAACTCAAAAAATAACAGTTATTCTTTGAGTTTTACTTTACAAATCAGAAAATAACTGTTAAAGTGTGATTTTTAAAATAAAACTTATAACAGTTACGTTCCCTGATATTAATTGCATATTCTTTTTATAGAAACTCGTGGAGGAGGAACGCCAGACGCAGGCAGGATCCTCGCCTTCAACAAAGCCATACGCGTAAGTGATAGTTAGTCAACCTCGATATTGACCTCTTTAAAACCTCTACTTTTAGTCCCCAGTCCGCGGGAGTGCCGGAGCCCACCCTGGAGTTCGCTGCCTTGTGCCTACGTAGCGCTCTGACCCTAACGCAGAACTACAAGACGAGGTTCCACCTGACGGTTTCATCGGAGGATGTCGAGACACCCGAACCCAAGGACCCGACTCAGGAGTCTTGGCGTCATCCGCAGGACAATAACTTCTGCAATCCCTCCAAGCCCGTCAGCCTTGAGTCGCTGGAGAAAATGATGGCCGCCATATATGCGGCGCACAGCTTCGTATCGCTGCGTCTGGGCGACGATGTGACGGCGCTTGAGATGGCGGAGCAGCTGCTGGCCTGTGAACGTCTCTCCGATGCGCACAAGTAATTTAGAGATTCCTTTAAAAGATCCCAAGTAACTTCTCTTCCATTCTCCAGATTGCTGGGTCACATGTACGCTGGCGAGGCATTGATGTTGATGGACAAGGCGGCCGAAGCACGCGACCATTTGGACCCCACCTTTGTGGGCACACTGAACGCTTTCGATTTTGAGACGCGTGACTGGCAACTGAAGTCGGTGGACGCCGCCCAGAACGTGGTGCGTTACAATCTGGCTGTAGCCATGGCCCTACAGAACGACCTGCCTCAAGCGAAAGCACTCCTCGCCAACCTAAGCCACTCGTTGGTGAGCAGCAAGGCGTTGGCTTTGCGACGTTTTATAGACCTAAAGATGGGTGCCCTTCCTGGCGGGACGCCCAGTTAGACAACAAATTTTGTAAATACTTAGACGGAATTAAAGAACGAGATTGAAGTGACGAGGAAGCCAAGTAATGATTTTTTTGTGATCAATAGTTTTTCAGGTCTTTAAGAAGGTATTTTAATATGGTAGAATAATAAGATAATCTCAGTATTTTCACAAATTATATTGTTAATCCGTTACATAATACAAATTCTGATAAATTTGCTAAGAAATTTTGTTAGATACGCTAGACCATTTTATAAGCAAGGTATTCCTCTTCCAAATGCTGTACAAAACGCTTGTTATTTTAAGTGTCTACATTGACATTGCCAGGGGAATATCTTCTGTAAGCTAAGCTTTAAGCTAACGTCAGTACCTCAAGGTCAAATCTTACCCACTTCTTTCAAAGGACGACATCATAGCCTCGCACAACTACCCGGTGGAAACACACACAGTGGTCACAAGGGATGGATATTTACTCACCGCATTCCGCATACCGTCCTCAAAGTTTTGCACGAAACTAGGACGAAAACCGGCGGTTCTCTTCCAGCACGGAATGACGGCCTCGTCGGATGTTTTCATAGTGAACGGACCCAGAGATGCCTTGCCCTTCATGCTGGCCGATGCCTGTTTCGATGTGTGGCTTAGTAACTCGCGGGGCACCCGGTACTCCAGACGCCACATCTCCCTGGATCCCTCAAAAGAAGCCTTTTGGCGCTTCAGCTGGCATGAGATTGGGTTAGAAGACGTGGCTGCCATGATAAACTATATCCTGGTTACCACAAATCAGAAAGCCCTGAACTACGTGGGTCACTCGCAGGGCTGCACCACGCTGGTGGTTCTTCTTAGCATGCGTCCGGAGTACAATAAGTTAATCAGGACAGCGATCCTGTTGGCTCCCGCTGTCTTTATGCGCCACACATCCACATTGGGACAGACTGTGCTGAGGAACTATATTATGGCATTGCCCGACCGCGAGTTCATGTTCCACAATAAGTTTTTAAATAGGATTCTGAAGTCTATGTGCGGGCTATTTGTAGTGAGAGTGTTCTGCACGACCTTTTTCATGATGAACATTTTAACACAGTAAGTACGAAAAACTTTAATCCTAACCATCTTCGAAACGTCTCTATTTTTAGAGTACTATTCCTTTGATTGCGGCCACGCATCCGGCAGGAATATCTTCGCGCCAGCCAAAGCACTTCATCCAGCTCACGGATAGCGGAAGGTTTAGAATGTTTGATTTCGGGATCTTGAGGAACTTGATCACCTACAGGTCCTTCGCACCGCCCGATTATCCGCTGCATAACGTCCGTCCCCTGACGCCTGTCCACATTTTCTACAGCGAGCAGGACTTCTCCACAAGTAAGGAGGATGTCGAGCATTTTGCCTCTAGGTTGCCGGCCGCGGTGATGCATCGCATCTCTGAAACTTCATGGCACCACATGGACTTCCTTCATGCCTTAACCGTCGCTGAAGTGATTAACAAGCCGATTATTGAAATTCTTAAAAGGTTTAACGAACTTAAATATTAGTATATTATCTTAAATTATGCGATTCTCTTGATTCCAAGAAAATAAATTCCATATCTGCAATTTCTTTGAAGCTATAAAGACTCTGATTTCCCGTTTACGATATCTTTAGTTCATTTTTGTCACATCTTGTTTTACTTCCGTTCTTCAGATAAAAGTCAGCAATAAAGTTACATTAGTAATAAAATTTAATTATGTTCTTTAGACGGAAGGATGGATGAATTGTGACTAAATACTTTTATAGCAAGTTCATATAGCGCACAATTTAATATGGTCTTTTACAAAGTAATATTAAATTAAGTGCGACTTTATGGATTAGTTATACTATTGGACCCATCCGTAAAAATGCCAATTAGCACTCGACAAGATGTCGTCGATCAAGTTTGTATTAATTTTTGCCTGGCTATGCAGAGTAAGGGCTCAAACGAAAGTTCAACTTGGCATGCAAAATTTCACGGGACATACCTATGATTACCGCATTAGAGTATTTACTGGCGTGAGTTGGTGAAATATTTTACTCTGTGGACACATCCGAAGTCCTTTTCATAGCTCCACATCATTGACTCATACGACTATCCTGTGGAAACGCACACAGTTGTCACTAGAGATGGTTATATCCTCGATATCTTTAGGATTCCGTCATCACAGAAATGTAAATGGCGCGGAATAAAGCCGGTAGTCTTTCTTCAGCATGGGTTGACATGTTCGGCGGACACATTCTTGATGACGGGACCAAAGACTGGACTTCCCTTTATGCTGGTCGACATTTGCTACGACGTTTGGCTGAGTAACTGCCGTGGAATTCGCTACTCCCGACGTCACACCAGGCTGAAGTCTTCCGAGGAAGAATACTGGGGCTTCAGCTGGCATGAAATGGGAACGGAAGACCTGCCCGCCCAGATCGACTACATTCTGACCTACACTCAGCAGAGTGGCCTGCATTTCGTGGGACACTCTCAGGGATGCACCACCCTGATGGTCCTGCTCAGTATGAGACCGGAGTACAACGAAAAGATCAAGACCGCCACCCTGCTCGCTCCCGCGGTTTTCATGCAAAACTCTCAATCCCAAATGATAAATCAATTTGAGGGGATAATTATGTCGATGAAGGACTGCGATTTTTTTGGACACAACAATGTAATGAGATTTTTGATAACGATTATTTGCAAATTAGCCAAAATGAAAAGATTTTGCACCACACTGTACATGATGTCTAGCGCAAAGCCATCGAGGTATATGAATGAGGTAAGTAAGAAACTATTTTGTAATATATTCGAATATATGAATTTCCTTTCCAGACCATCATTCCAATAGTTTTATCCACGCATCCTGCTGCCATTTCTTCGCGCCAGCCTAAGCACTTTCTGCAGGTCCGAAGGGCTGGCAAGTTTCAGCTTTATGACTTCGGAGCCGAGCAAAATATGAAGATCTACAACCAGTCCTTGCCACCGGAATATCCACTGCAGAACGTCCGCCCGTTGTCCCCAATCCACATATTTTATAGCGATGGAGATACCATGACAGTGGCTAAGGATGTTCTACAGCTGATCAACACGTTGGCCAGCGTAGTGCCTCATCGCATTCAATATCCCCTTTGGGCCCACTCGGACTTTATTTTCGCCAAGTCCGTAGATACGGTCGTTAATCAACCAATAATTGAAATTATCGGCGAGTTCGAGAGGTCTTGGAGGGAGAACAACAAAAATCCAAAATAATAACAAAATATTACTAAGAATAATTTATTTAAATGTACACTTTAAGAATATAATAACTTCAGTTAAAAAAAAATTAAAATACAACCGGGATTTCTGGTCCATATGTATTTAGCTTTTAAATATAATTAAAAAATACATTATATTATATATTAAGTTACAGATTAACCCCCTTAGATGCGCTTACGCACAATGGAATTTCGTATTAAGATATTAATTGTTCGGATTAGTTAAGCCTTTTCCTACAGACATCCATAAAAATAGTTATTTCATCACCAGATGCTGCGGATACTGTGTGTCATTTATTTCAGTTGGCTGAGCAGAGTCAATTGCCAATTGATTTCTAAGGTAAGTAAGGAATACCTAAAGTTAGGATAATAGAGATGATATACTTCAAAGGTGGATTATGACTGGGAGAATTACACACTTCCAGCCGTTGAGCCTCGAGTTAAGGTGATAACTGGGGTGAGTAGTTAAAAGTAAACTTTAGAGGGACGTGTCAGTTAGCCCTGCCTATAGGTCGACATCATAGCTGGCCACAATTATCCAGTGGAGACGCACACTGTCACCACTCGAGATGGTTATATCCTCGAAATGTTTCGGATTCCGTCTTCAAACCTTTGTGGTCGAAACGGGACAAAGTCAGTCGTCCTGATCAATCATGGTATGACTGGATCGGCAGACTCTCACCTTTTAAATGGACCCAACGATGGACTGCCATATTTGTTGGCCGACGCCTGCTACGATGTGTGGCTGACCAACTGCCGCGGAACCCGGTATTCTAGGCGCCACGTTAAACTTAAGGCTTCAAAGATGAAGTACTGGCGGTTCAGTTGGCATGAAATCGGAATGGAGGACTTGCCCGCCATGATCAATCATATGCTAGCAAAAACAAAACAGCAGGCCTTCCATTTTGTGGGCCACTCGCAGGGAACCACCTCCCTGATGGTGCTGCTCAGCCTGCGACCGGAGTTTAATGCGAAGATCAAGACTGCTAATTTGATGGCTCCGCCGATCTTTATGAAGAATTCCCTCTCAACATTCCAAAAGCTTATTAAGCCCGTATTGCAAAGGTTGCCCGATTTCGAGTTATTGCCCAATCACAAGGCGATTCATTCTATTGTAGCAAGGAAGTGTAATATACTTGGCTTGAAGGAGATCTGCATCGCCTTGTATATCTTCTCCCAGGGACCAGTGTCCCTACACTTTAACAGGGTAAGTAAAAAAATAAATTAATAGTTCTTTAAACGGTGAAACATTATTGTGTATTAATCATAAAATTAAACGAGATATTCTTGTAGACTCTCGTTCCCTTGCTAATCGCTACTCACCCGGCTGGAATTTCGACTAGACAGCCGAAGCACTATTACCAGCTTAAGGACTCCGGCAAGTTCCGACCTTACGACTTTGGGCTCAAGCAGAATTTGGCGCTCTACAAGAAGTTCAGTCCCCCTGATTATCCCTTGAATAAAGTCCGTCCTTTGTCGCCCATTCACTTGTGGTACAGCGACGACGATGGCACCATCTCGCCAAAGGACATCCCAACGCTGGTCAGCAAGTTGTCCAGTGTGGTGACACATCGTATCACGGATCCTACCTGGGATCACACGGACTTCCTTTTCTCGAAGACCATAAAATCGAAGATCAATCTACCGATTATAAATATTATAAACGAATTCGAGAGCAGTCCTGCCAACAGTCAGCTTAAAAAACAGGATAGATCAGTCAAAAAGAGCGGGAATAAAAAGAAAACAAAACCTTAACAAGAAAGGAAGTTAACTTCGGCCAGCCGATGTTTATATACCCTTGCAGGTATGCGTATCTAATTAAAACGCCTACTTTCTACAAAGTTACGATGTTTTTTCTATTATTTTTTTTAATATTCCTATGGGAGCCATAAGATATAGAGGTCCGAATCGGATCGTTTCGACATATGTAATACCTGCAATAGAAAGAAGACTTTCGGGAAAGTTTCATTGCGATAGCTTTAAAACTGAGAGACTAGTTGATCAGACATGGCTAGATAGACTAGGCTATTGATGCCGATCAAGAATATATATACTTTACGTTGCAAACTTTTGACTGAAAATATAATACCCTCTGCAAGGGTATAAAAGGGATAAAACAGGGAAAAAGGTAACTTCTTTTTCTACAACAGAATATTTTATTAGATTAAAACAAACCTTTCTGCAAAAAATACCCTTTCCCTAAGACTGAAATAACTCAAATGCCAGATCTCATTCTCATGCAGAACCGAGTTTCGTATTAAAAATTAAAATAGTTATTGAATTAGTTCGACCTTTCCTTACATTCACCCATGAAAAAAGCAAGTTAGTTCTATCCGAGATGTTGTGGATATTGTTTGTGGTCTTGAGTGCCTGGCTAACTAGTGCCAATGGAAAAGAAGAGGTAAATGGAAACGAAATAGCAGAGTTGATTACCAAGAAATTAGCAGGAAATGTCGAGCAGTACGTGGGGCTATGGAACCTAATCAAGATGGGGAAAGAAGAAGCCATCGATTCCCGCACATCGTCAATAACTGCGGTGAGTTCGTGGACTTAGACCAAATGAGAACATATCACTATATAATACCTCATTTTAGGTCCAGCTAATAGCCCGGCACAACTATCCGGTGGAAACGCACATTGTCATTACCCAAGATGGCTACGTACTCACGATCTTCCGCATTCCCTCATCGAATCATTGTACAAGGAGCGGTACAAAGCCAGTGGTTCTCCTGCAGCACGGAATCAATTTCGCGGCGGATGGATTCCTGGTGACTGGACCCAAAACCGGACTACCATATTTGCTGGCCGATGCCTGCTTCGATGTGTGGCTGAGCAACTGCCGCGGAACCCGATACTCTAGACGCCACACCACTTTAAGGGTCTCTGAGCAGAAATTCTGGCAATTCAGCTTTCATGAAATGGGAATACAGGACTTGCCTGCCCAGATCAACTATATTCTCTTGAAAACGAAGCAGAATGCATTGCATTTTGTCTGTTATTCTGAGGGATGCTCTGCTGGAATGGTCCTGCTCAGCATGAAACCGGAGTACAACGGGAAGATCAAGACCGCCAACCTGTTGGCCCCCACTGTCTTCATGAAGCACTCCAAGTCTTGGGGTCTGCAGTTACTCAAGCCGCTATTTATGAAGCTGCCCGATGCACAGTGGTCGGGCTTGTATGGAGCCGCGGCCATAAATACTTCTAGATGTGCTATCGCCATGAAACTTTTACCAAAAATCTAGATAAATATTATAAATTTATGTTACAAAAATTGGCCAGATCGTACCACTATATCCTATATCTTCCATAGGAACGATTATCTCATTTATATGAGAGGGAAATCAAAAATTAAATTTTTGTAATAATAACAAGTTGGTTTGTTTACCGTACGATATTTACAAACTTAGAACTGCAATATAAAAATGTGGGAGTGATTACTGAACTCCACCAGCACCAAAAAAAATTATAAAAAAACAAAACAAACAATAATAAGATTTAATATCATTTTAAAATTTTTTGATCGAGTAGCGAAATAGTTGACTCTAAATGAGTTGACTTTTGGTTATAACTAAGTTTTTTTGTCCATTAATAAAAGGATCAGAACTTAAAAGCAATATGTTAAATAAATCTATATTTGCAGTCGAATTATTAAATATCCTTAATTTTTGATTCAGCGGCTCCTTTAAAAAGCTTTCCAATCAAAAACCAACCAAAAAGCTACAAAAGAAACAGGAAAAACAAGCTACAACAACAGCACACACATAACAAAAAAGATCTTCCTCCTAAAAAAAGGTTCTAAAATAAATGAGGTTAGGTTGCATTTTTTAATGCCACAAGTGCAGCGGCACCTTTCTGCAGCTGGACAAAACATTTTTATAATCTTTAAATATTAATAAAAAACAGGATATAAACATCATTGTAGGAAAACTGGGGAAAACCACTTAAAACTTTACCTAAAACATTGGAACGCATAACATTTACGAACTAAATAGGACGCACACTTTACCACGTATTTACGCAAAACACAGCACAAGTTATTAATTCATTTATCTGTATAAACAAAGTATATACTGTTATGAACAATGTCCATTATATTTGAATGGGGTTAAACCGTGCTTTATAATTTTTTAGAATTTTTTAAAATCACTTCGTGGCACTGCACTGTTGACAAATTGAAAATAAGTAAGCACGTTCTCGCACTTTGCATCCCAGTGTTGGAAAGTCCCGTTAGAAATTCAAAAAAAAAACGTTTGTATTATAAAGCTTGTACAATTAGCTGATCGTAGAACCGGTTTTCGCTGGAATATCTCAAAATCAATTTTTTGATTTTTGGCCTATGGCAGCGACCACTGTGCGATGGCGAGCTATTACCCCAAAAAGGATTGATAAGTTCTGTAATAAGATTCATGTGCAGTAAAAAATCAGTAAAGAATCTATGCGCATCCATTTATCTAGTCTTGAACAGCCACGAGTCGACCCACACAAATAGAGTGAGTCAAACGCTTTAAATAATTTTTCCTATTATTAATTAATTTAATTTCCAGACAGTCGTTCCACTTTTAATGGCCACTCACCCGGGCGGAGTTTCCACCAGGCAGCCAAAGCACTTTATACAGCTGAAGGACTCTGGAAAGTTTCAACTATACGACTTTGGCAAAGAAGGAAATCAGATCACCTATGGCCAATCCTGGCCCCCTGATTATCCGCTGGAAAAGGTCGATCCAATGACGCCCATCCACTTGTTTTATAGCGATGGAGACCACACCGTCTCATCAGAGGACATTCCAATTTTGGCCAGCAAGTTGCCCAGGTCGGTGCTACATAAGATCGAAAAGTCCAAATGGGATCACTCCGATTTTATTATTGGGAATACTGTAGATGAAGTGTTGAATCTACCTATTATCAACATAATCAATGAATTCGAGAAGAATTAAAAAGAAATTGGTGAAATGATTAGATAGTTTGTTCTAAATTTAAAAAACTTCACTTCGGTTTAGTCTAATCTATAAATTATTTATTTATTAATCAGTACATATATCCAGAGTTGATCTAGCCGAATCAACCGCAGACTCAGTTTCGTAATTCTACTTTGTTTTTGGCACTAGTGATAGTTCTGGCTGTGATCCTTTCCCGCCAACTTCCTGGCCTTCCTCCCTTAGCGTCGTCGTTGCTCGTAGCGATTCATGGAGAGCACTATATTGTCGAAGATGTACTCCCTGACCCCCAGACCGCAGATGAAGTCGAAGTGGTTCCACCGTTTCCAGGGAGCCTTGTAAACGGCCTGCACATTGGGCAGCCGGGTTAGCAATCGCCAGATGTCCGCCGGAGCGACAATGTAGTCGTTTTCCGAGAAGAAGACGGTCACTGGCGTGGAAACCTTCTCGAGCGCGTATTCCGGGGGCTCCAGCTGCTGGTAGTGCAGCCAGTTCCGCTCCGGACCGTAGTCATATTGCCGGAACCGCGTGGACACGTAGCCCTGGAAGTAGTGCATCAGCTGCTTCACCGATCCGCCAGCCGGGAAATTGGCCATCAGATCAGGCAGAATCGTTTTGTTTAGGAAGCGAGTATCGTAGCCAACGGCTGGCCACAGGCGACTTATGCACACGAGTGGCTTCTCGTTCTCCAGGCACGTCATCGAAAGGAACTTCTTGAAGAACTTGTTCGTGGAGAACATCTCCACGCCCTCGAGCATCTTGGAGACGTAGTTCCGGGTGCCCAGCACCGGCCCAATGACCTTGGCCAGCCCGCTCTTCGTGTTGCTCACATAGGCCACCGGGGCCAACAGGGTGGCGCTCTTGAAGACCGCATTGTATTGCGGCATCATCGAGTTGAGGACCAGGAAGACGGTGCCGCCCTGCGAGATGCCCACGAAGTGCATGGCCCGCTGCCCGGTTGTCCGGAGCACGTAGTCCACCTGGGCGGGCAGGTCGTAGACGCCCATCTCGTGCCAGCTAAAGTCCCAGAACTCTCGTTCCGTCGTATTGCGCCACACGTTCTTGCGGCAGTAAATGTTGCCCCTGTTGTTGCCCAGCCACACGTCGTATCCGGCGCGCCAGAGGAGGTATGCCAGCGAGTCCTCGCGTCCGTTGAGCAGCCACCTGGGAAGGAGTCATTGGTTTTATGTGATCTTTATACCATAAATTACTAAATTAAATTAAATTATAAAAAGATTTTTTAGCTTACAAAACTCTTAAGGTATTTTTAATTCCCTTAAACAAAATTTGCACGACGAGCAATGCTCGTATAACACCATAACTTGAGGCTTAATTATACAAGATTAAAAACCACGAATTCTTAAGGAGATAATGGTGACTTGTATATTTAGAGAGGCTTTATCATACAAGATAAAAAACCGCGAATTCTTGAGGAGATATATGAAAAGTTCTCATATTATCATATGAATTATATGTAGTCTTCTTTTGAATATTTCTATGGGTTTTCGATTAATCTTAGTTAAGCGTGGAATTTTCATAATTTCATTATTAATTTTAGCTAACCGACTTTGATGAATTCTACAGATAATTTAATGTTGTTGCTGGTAAGCAAATAAAAGTTGCCGAGAACCTTTGAATTTTCTTAAACTTCCTTGAAGAAGTTATAAGAAGAAAAATGTAAATAAGAATAAGCAATGAAGTGACAAAGATGTATTTCAATTATTCATTGCTTATTTTAATAAAAATTATAAAAAGGCTTTACCCGTCAGATTATTTCTTAATAAGTGGTTTACTGAAGAGTTATTTTCTTAGACTTTAAAGCAGACAGACGGAAGGATAAGTAATAACAATCAGTAATAAAGAATGAATCATTTGAAAACCCGTTGATGGTAATTTTCCCTAGTGATTCTTATCTGCAGCCAGCGGAAGTATCTATTAGCAGATGCCACATTACAATAAACTACGTACACATCCGACGAGGCGTAGAGTCCGGAGAGCAGGAAGACGACGGGGCGCGGCAGCAGGCTGCCCAGTTCGGGATCCACCTGCGGGATGCGGTGCAGGGTGAGCACATATCCGTCCTTCGTCGTCACCGAGTGGCGCTCCACGTTGTAGCCGTCGTTCTGGATGCGCCGCACCTGCAACGGATGGGAGATAGCAGGTAACAGGTAGCCAAAACTGGGCTCACACGCAGGCAGGAAGCGAAGGCGAGTGGCTCAGTCGGCAAGCCAAAATCCGAAATGCAAACACAAATTGTTGGCACATTCGGCCGCTTGACATTTGGAGGCCAAGCGACGCGTGCGTTGTGACACTCGGTTAATTAGGAATTCCGCTGGCGAACCGACCTGGGGATTACCACCCCTCCCCATTTCCCCCGACCATTGGAACCCAAGGAACACATACCGCATCTGTGATGATGATTTCGCGCGACTGACGCACAGTGGCCCTGGACACCTGCTGCACTCCGAGCAGCGCCAGACACAGCAGCACCACTCGCTCCCGTCGCATGCTGACCAGGATTATGGTTACATGAACGCCGCACGCTGGGATTAAGTAACTGGGTAACCGATCAGAAGTCCAACCGGTTCGCAGCGATCGATCGCAGCGAAACGAAGCGAAATTGTAAATGAAAATGAAAACGAAAGCTGCCCAAGGATCGCTAAGGCGGCTAAAAGAAAAGAAAGACAGCACTTTCTTTCCAGCGGAGAGCTTTCAAAAACGCCGAAATCGAAACTGAAACTCCAACCGAAAACGAAACCGAAACCGAACCAAAAACCGTATGAATGGATATGAATGGGAATTGCAATCCAAGTGCCGTTTTCTCGTTTCTGGCAGTACCGCTGCTAGTGTTCGATTCGAATGTGCTTTATCGACTGCGCATGCGTCCGCTGCTCGCAGGGCTTGCCACTCATTTGAGCGGCTTTTGGCGGCGTAGCGGAGGCAGAGCTCCAACCGGTGAGCCACCTGCATGGCGAGCTCAGCTCAGAGCGCCCAGAGTAGCGGCGGCGCATCCAAGAGTCTCGGCCTCTGCCGGCATACACTGCGCGTAATATCAATTGCCGCCCCCACTCCAGCAAGAGCCCCCAAAACCCCCTGCCCCCCGAAAATCCAATCAGTTGGCACGCTGCCACGGCAATTTGAGCAATTATAACAGCTTAGCGAAAGAGAGAACGCTAGCCAAAACTGTCAACGTCGAGTACAGTGGGCGAATAGCGCAGAAACAACCTCAAGATGGGATTAAATATAAAGCTTCAAACGCCAGAAGAAAGTGAAATTGACCTTGTCCTATAGGAAAGACCCATGATGAAGTCCGCTTGGCAACATGATCGAAATTTGTCAATTTAAACGTCCTTAAGTTAAGATACAGTGCATTAGGTATAACTATCTGTATCTTAAGATTTTTGTAACTTTATAAAAGCAACTATTTTAGAGCCGTTTTCTCGTCCGCCTGTTAAATTTCAAGGTTGTAACCCTACTTTAAATTTAACAAACGGACGAGAAAACGGCCTTTATTTTATCATAATGATCTAAGTATATGTAAATGTGTTTATTTTAGATATAAGTTTGTATATTTTAAATCTTAAAAGCAACGTGATTAACGTCCTTAAATAAAGATTACTATTTATAATTTAAAACAAGAGAGAACGCTATAGTCGGGTTGTTGTCCCGACTATCTAATACCCGTCACTCAGCTAAAGGAAGTGCGAACGCTGTGTCGGGTTGGTGTCCCGACTAATAATCGTAACTCAGCTAAAGGGAGTGCGAGGGAGATAGATATATAATTTTTGATTGCGTATAACTTTTTAATGAATGGTCCGATTTGAAAAATGTCTTCTACATTTCGATAGGTATAAATATACACAACAAAATTGCATTTATACTTCTCGGAAATCTTTAAAGATGTGGGCGCAGGACCCATTTTAAAATCGTTAGTGGGCGATTATGGGCGTTAGAGGGGCGTGGCGCTCGGCTAAAATAAACTTGCGCTGCGTAGGAAGCCAAAGAATATGTGTGGGAAATCTCAACCTTCTAGCTTTTGTAGTTTCTGAGATCTCAGCGTTCATACAGACAGACAGACGGACAGACAGACGGACAGACGGACAGACGGACATGGCTAGATCGACTCGGCTAGTGACCCTGATCAAGAATATATATACTTTATGGGGTCGGAAACGCTTCCTTCTAGCTGTTACATACTTTTGCACGAATCTAGTATACCCTTTTACTCTACGAGTAACGGGTATAAATATTCCAGTATGTAAATGCTTAAGATCTCTTAAGAAATTAAAACGTTCGTCCAAGTTAAAGAAGCTCACCTGTATTCCCAGAAAATGATTCATATCGCAGCGTGACAGCTTTGACAACTCATTGGCTTTGAAATCTGATCAATCTCATAGAATTTGTAAGGGCCAGCACTGCTTACCCATTCAGGCCACATCACAACAGATGATAAAGCAAGATAAATACCCCCAATAAGCTAACAATATGAACGGCTCACGTGCCGTTGAAAGTTATGCGCATCACATACAAGGTATTCACAAGAGACAATTGGTTTCGGGCAGTGTATAAATTTTTGGGAGCTACTTACTTACTTACCTTTTTTTTTGGCTCTGACTGTGGCTATGTGTCTCTGGCAGCGACGTGGTTTTTCGTCGCATTGTTGTCGTCGGCGGCCGTTGTTTTTTCGCTGAATTGCAATAACCTGTTGCCTAATGAAAACGGCGTCTGCTTATTTAGGATGTGGCCTGGGCTGGCTCGGCCTGGCCCAAGTACTCGCACTTACTTGCCAAGAGGCATATGTATGTACCCATTGGGGTACCTTTGGATACCATATACCCATAGTCTTCTGGTGTTTATGTTTGCCCACTTGAAAGACAATCGACAGCTCGCCCGCCAATCCTCCGCAGCTCTCACCGTTCATTCAGCGGATCGCTGGAGAGCTTTCTGTTTGTTTATATGGCTTTTTAATAGCTCGTCAACAGCTGCGCAAGGGGTTGTAACTGCTGTGCACACGGCTTCTACTCCGTTTCATCAATGGACCGCTGAATGACCGCTGCGCCACTCCACCGCTCCACTGCCCCACTGGCGGCATTGACCCACCGGCCCACCGCGACTCACGTACTGGACAACCCACCGAGCGATTACCCAGCGATGTGGGGTATCGCTTTAAGTGTAGGTACCTAGATACCTTATCTATAGACACCGAAAAATGATCGATCGATACTTTATTCAGGGAATACGTAGGATATTTGAATTCTTTGTATTTCCTAAATCAAGAAATATATACTAACTAAGCAGCTGTAGATTTAAATTAATTAAAAAAGGGTACTAGTATAGAGGTTTTAAGGTACCTTCCATATATGCAAAGTAAGTACTACCTTGACCACAAACGGTAAACGGCAAAGCCCAAGGCGGGTCGCGTATGTGTATGATTATGGCTCACAGCTCAAATGTCCATTTGTTTGGCGTTAAAACAGTTTACGCTAATTCCTATTGTGACACACGAGACATCATGAGTGTTGGTCGCGTGTGACTGCGGCGGATCAAGTAAGCTGTTTAGTTTAACTGGTTTCGACAATTAAACTCGGGGCACTTGAGTCGAAGTCGGAGTCGGGCAATCAAATGGGACAGGGTCTCTGGGGCCGGGGCCAGGGGCATTTTTCAGGGCAACGGGTGGGCAAAACCTTACTAGACCTCGAAAGCCTCCACCTCGGCTGACTTTCTTTCACTTTCGGCTAATGGATTCTATGTAATTGAGGCCTAAACACTCCATAATGCACACTCCATGTCGCACTCCATTGCCAAATTTGTTTGTTTACTCGGGCCTGTGTGTTTGCCCGCACAAGTGATACCTAAACCGGACTGATGCAATCAAAGGGTATAAGTTATTATGTAAACAGGCATGGATAACCATCGGTAATTATACGATGAGTTCATATTTCATTTACTTAACAGATAGGTTTATGCTTGGTGTTTAAACCGCAAGTAACGGAGTTGTGAAGCGATATTAACCGATTCAATTTCAAAACATTGATGGAAAACCTAACTGATGTAAGTAACTGATGTAAATGTCTTCCTTCCAAAATATGTTCCTTATCTTCACCCCAACATCTGTTGAATCCCTGAATTAAAGACAAAAGGGTCTCAAATTACACAAACCCTAGATAGGGTATACAGATTTCAGTGCCCCAAAATCCGTATCACTTTCGTTGACCGCGGAGTCATTCACTGTTGACAGTTGCGTGGTGTGAACTTTGTATTGAACTTGAAACTGGAGCTGGACAAGATCTGCATAATGCATAAGATGGGCTTGTGTGCCGGTCACAAATCAAAGACCGTTTAGCTTTTCCGCCGAACAATGAGCTGACATTTCACTTTGAGTGCTCTGCTTTCTGATATGCATTCGGTTGCGTTTTCTTTTTTCTTTCTTTTTTGTTTTTTTTTCGCTTTTTATTTACCAGTAACTCTGGAATTGCCGGTCCGGTTTCCGGTCGACCCAACGAGGTTTATCTAATCCCAAAAGGGCGCTTATCATCAATTCGCTGCTATGGGCATTGGCGTCTTGGGTTTGAAACTCGAAAGTGATTGAACCCTTCATGGAAAAGAGAGTTACTGCGAAAAAATTCCATATTTTTATTTATTATAATGGTAAAGGAATTTATTTTAATAAGTTAAAAAAATAATATAATATTTTAAGGATTTAAAAGAAATATGGTAAGTGAGTTTCTTTAAATATATTAAAAAAAGATTAAGTTTATGTGTTTAAAGTAAATTAATATCTGTACAGAGCTTGGAATTTTGTTTTTTATTTCATTGGTGGGGGAATTTCATTTTAAGGGAATAGGTTGAAAAAATAATATAATATTTATTAGAAATATGCTAATATTTTTCTCGCTGTGTGGGAAAACTGGCCTACGATGACTGTCACCAGCTAACTGACAAAATGACGGGTTGGATGATTAGCCGGCCGTTAGGTCACTGTGCTAATCCCCTGCTAATTGTTTCTTGATGCGTTTGTAACTCCCTAACCAGGCAGAGGAAGACGGCCTTGGCCAGGAGACGCTACCTGGTAGTCTACCTAGGCTCGCTAATTAGTCGACTTTTGCCCGCGCCTGCCTGACTCACGGCCGCAGCATATTTACAACTGCCGGCTAGCCGGGACAAACAAGGCAATCGGCGGTCGTAAAAAGGCAAATGGCTACAAATAAAACAGAAAACACAAATCTCAATAACAAAAAGCCGCCTCCCCACGACTTCGACGACAACAAAAGGAACACTGCGAGGCCTCAGGAGGAAGTGCCGACGTTTTCGTCATGACTAAGCGTGGTTACTCAAAGGGAAACCAATTGATTCCTTCCTGTTGCCGACGAACATCAATCGTCCATCGTCCACTATCCCACATCCACCGCTGAGCCACGACGGCAATAACAAAATCTAAATATTTAACGACTAAATTGAATCTGAAGGCGCGCGCTCACTCACATCAGGCAAATTTTCCGGCCCGACTTGGCTGGGGTTACCTGCTGGCATAATCAATAAAAGATAAACAGTGGGCCGACCAGCCAAGCAGCCGACTGGCCAGCGTCTGCGACTCCAGCCCATTGAAATGGCTACATCACGTAATGGAAAATGTTACAGGGAAAGCCTACACGAGCAGCCAGAAAAGCGAGAAAAGCTCAAAACAACTGTATACAGATGTGAGTGAGTAGGTAAAGCCCCTGTGGTCCATGTCGTTGTCAACAGGCGTACGAGAAGTTTGGGCATTCTGTCAGGCATCGAGACTTCCAGACATCCAGACTTTCAGACAGCCAGCAAGTAGTTGGTCGACCTACCAGACCATCATCCATCCATTCAGTCACTTGGCCGGGAAAGACCCCCGTGGACCGCAGCTCACAGAAGCTGGAGGGGCACTCAACCTCGGGTTCTGGTTCTGATGGTACCCCCTGTTTACAATGGGCGGACTCAGGCGAGCCAAATCATTCACAAACAGAGACTGAGAGGCTGAAAATTGATTCGAAGCAGCTGTCGTTCGATGGGTAGTCAAGATTGGCCCAGGAAAACTTATATCTACCAAGAGAGTAATTGAGTTTGCAGCTGTTAAAATGGTTATCAGTAATGAGGTGTTAAAGATGATTGTTAAAGTGTGCAAAATTAGTTAGAAATATGTATTTATTCACAAGATTAGGAACGATATAATATACAAATTTGAGTTTTTGCCAAGGTTTTGTCTTTAGGTTGGAATATTTTCTCATATTAAGAAAATAAATTAATAACAATATTTAAATTCGTTTTAAAAGTCAAACACGAATTTTAATTATAAGCCTTTAAAAAATTCCAACAAACTTTATTTGATTATATATTAAAGCACTCAAAAATAATTCAGATAAATATTTCATTAAAAAACAGCCGCTTTGAAGATTTCCCACTATATTGTGGTTCCATTTGTCAAGTAATATTTTTCTTACGCTTGGTAAATATAAATTAACTCCACTTTTAAATGCTTGACCAGTGATTCCTCGTGGATCTTATCACAACCCATTGAAATTCGATTCTTTTACTGTTCCACTTATACTACACCACAATCTGTGCTCCCATTGATCGTGGGTGATATTAAATATTTGGTTAGTCTTGCCAGCCCGACCCTCATTGTTCCTGCTCTCTTTTGTATTGGAGCTCTTGTATTATACCAAATAAACAATAAGAGTGCTGGGCCGAGGGCAGTGGTATGGGGATAGGGATAGGGATAGGTATATGGTATGGACATAGGGCCTTAGGTAGACCCGACTGGTCCAAGTTCGATGGGAGGAGGAGGGGAAGCGAACGAATTGGCTGCCAAAGCCAACCACTCGCACGTTGAGGGGCTCGATGACGATGACGCTGTGGATCTGAAGTGCTGGCCGAGCACAGCCGAGCCAAAATGTTGGTTTCAGCTCTGTTTGGGGCCGGCGCTAGGCACTTGCACTTATCAGACCAACACATATGTACGGGGAGTTTTTCCAGCCCACTTACTTGCCGCAGAAGTAGAAGCAGAAGCAAAGGCAGAAGCCGCCTGCCTGCCAGTTCCTATTATTACCCGGAGAGCAAATAAACCCAGGCCAAGGCAGTATGATGGATCTGCCGGCAGTAGGGGTAAGTAGGGTAGGTAGAGGGACGTCGTCATCAATATACGACCGCAGCACATGCATTGCCTGCCACAGCAGCAGCAGCAGCAGCAACAACAACAGAAGCAGCAGCAACAGCAGAAGCAGCGACAGCAGCAACACACAAAATTCCAGAGCGCACGCGTTCTCAACTTTAGTTCTTTGCGAGTGGCCAACGCGTTCGGTCGTCGTGCGTGGTCGTCTGAAGGTCTGGTAATCGGTAAACCCCTGAAACCGGAGTCAAGTCCAAGTTGAAGCAACAGCTGAAAAATTTTCGAGAAGAACTGCAGCTGTATTCTTTATCTACATCCGAGTATCTGTGCGCATCCCGTGTTTCTCAGTGTGTTTGTGTGTGCCTGTGCGTGTTGGCCAGTTGATTTCGGGCCCGTCAAACTGGGAGCGACAACCTAATCAATCAGTCACTCAATATGGCCAGTATTTCTAAGAGCCGCGGCAGCTGCTCCTCCAGGAACAGGCTGCATCTTCAACTGGGGATCTTCGTGATCTTCGTCGTATTGCTGGCTTCGTGCTCGGCTCAGCCAAGTGAGTATTTGGTATATCTATAATATAGTGGGTATATCTCATCTCAGGCACGCCAGGCAAAACGCTCCATGGGATTGAATGGGCTGGGGCTGCATTGTCGTCTTCATCATCGTGATTGTCGTAATCACTGGCAGCGGCTGCTGCGGTCGCATCAGGCCTTTGACTTATATACTTATATATTATATCTTCTGATGCGATGCGGTGCGGTGCATTATGGTTTTATAGCGATTTTCCCCGTTTGTTGGGCTTTCTGTGCTTCGGCTTTGGCTTGGCATAATTCAAAACAAGCGTAATTATGCCACTGCCGCGGAAGGGGCGACACCGAGCTCCCCGAATCCCTCTACCCTCCCCAATAAAAAACACAAACGGTGGCACTTGGGTGTCATATAAATGCCCCCATCGGCAACTGCAGTTCATGCTCGCCGGCAGCGTGCGAAAGTTCAATAATGTTTGGTAACAGGCCAATTGAGGCGGTCACCGCAGTTCAAACTCTGCGATAAGGCGAAGATATCGGTTCCGTTTTGGGAAGGAGTGGGGGATAAACTCGGGGGAGAGTTTAATGATTCCGCGATCGGGGGAGAGTTTAATGGCACTCAAGTAAGCAGTAATCGGGGTGAACAAACCCATATCAGTTATTAAATTATCTACGGACCCAGCTCGAAATTAAAGGATCATTGATCATGAGATGGCATGTTGCCATGTTGCCTTGTGTTAGACATGTAATTTCTCTCACTTAAACACCAAAAACATAATTCCAAAGGCACACCCATACCAAAAAAAAGGGACTGACAGCTGACACTGGCCTAATTTGGGTTTGAGTTTGGGATTGGGCCACTGCATCTGTATCGGCAACTGCAAATGCGGCAAGCTGCGTAGCCAACCGAAAAGAAAATCGATTTCGTCTATTTTTCCTCCAAATGCCATTTTCCTCATTTGGCCGTCGCTTTGTTTTCGTTTGTGCGGCATGCTTTGTCCCATTTTAAGACCCAAAGACACATTCTGGTGTTATTGTATCTATTTGTTGTTCTTGGGCATTCGTTCCCAAGGGATTGGGACTGAGAAATGGGCATGGACCGACCGCCCATGCATATCTCATGCAGAGCATCTAATAATTCCGATTTTCCACGAAACGAGTTGCATCTTCTTAGGGATTCCGACCCAGAATGGTTGGGATGGGATAGATGTCCCCTCATAAATAAGTCAGCTACTTTATAGGCACACTATGCGACAGGCTGGGCGGGTTGCCCGGTCTCGTTGGTTTGTTTATTTGGTTACTAATTTGGGATTCCTCGATTTCGATTTGTTGCCGTTGGTGTGTGGTGTCTGGTGTGTGTGCCCGGAATTTTAATCACTGGCCGAGCATTTTGAGTAATGGGGCGCGGGCGAACGTACGTCCCCGGAGGAGAATTCGGGTTGATCATGTTGCGTTTGGCTACCAGGAGGAGGCGGAGGAACCTGGGACCCAGTTGTGAATGAATGTGTGAGAAAATGTGCACTGATGACAGCGATAATAGCTAGATAGATGCGGCTATGAATGGGCCGTAGTCGTATCGATGTTGCCTGACGACAGACAGCCAATCGACCAGTCGGGCCCATAAAGAACCCATCGAAAAGGCCTAATGGCACTTCGGTCTAATATGACTGTAATATTTGTTTATTAGCGCGTTAAATGGGAAGTTTATCAATGTAGCGGTCCCTCTATAATCATCGTTCGAAAATACATTTTATTAATTTCCGCCTTTAAATGCATTTTGATATTTTCGGGGAAAGTTTGGGAGAAGCTTTTAATATTTTCCATGCCTATTTCCATTTCTGCTTAAGTACTCGCGACGTGTTCTCAATTTGTGGGGAGAAAGCCGAGCCTAGTCATCGCTTTAAAGTTGTGCTATCAAAAACGCTGCACCCTAATGAATACTCAAGAATCTTAAAGGTTTTGAGACGCTGTTTTCGAATGTTTTTATGAAAATGGTACCTTCATAAGAAAAAAAGGTGACTTCAGGTCCCCGTTATTACCAAAGAAATCCTTTTATAATAAATTATTTTAATCCAAGTGAAAATGTTTATCTTTCAATTGATTTTTATAAATTATGCTTCCACAAAATAGATTTTAAATATAAATTTACTAAGGTATCACAGAAAATCTTTAGGATACATTTTTCTAAAAAGGCTTCAATCGTTTTTCACTGCATACTTTTAGATACTCCCATTTTACACGCCTCTTTTGACATTTGACGTTGCATTTGCTTCTTATACATTTCTACATTACATTTAAACATGGTTTGTGCATTGAGTAAATGGCTGTAACATTCATGATATCTTTTAAAATATTTAATTAAAATTACAAAATAATTAACATCTTACCTCGTTTTATTGTTTTAGTCGAGTCAACATCCTTGCCTCCAGAGGTCGAAGACGTAGAAGAACCCACCACGATACTTCCTATCCAGTTGGAAGAGAGTTCACCAGAACCCGCGATCCAGAATGCAACAACTCCTGCTCAGCCTGAAGAACCCAAAGAAGTGGAAGCTACACCTGCTGATCCTGTTGAGTCCACAGACAATTTCGTATCGGTTTACGGCGGAACCCTGGAACAGGATATCAAAAATGACGTAAACAGTGAGGTGGAAGATGCCCCATCTCCGGTGGAACCAATTATCGAGGATGTTCAAAAGGCCGCAGAAGCTGCGCTCGAAAATCACAGTGACTGTGAGTTAAATATATATTAATTTAATAATTTAATGTAATCTAATAAATTGTTCAACTTGCAGTCCAAAGCTCTCGGGAGCCAAAAACTCTTGATGCTGTTGAAGAAAACAAACCCAGCCAAGATGAGGAGCCGGAGGATCAAGCTGATCCAGAAGCAGTCACTGACAACATTGCCATGTCCAGTGAGCAACTGGAAAGCCACATCCGACCCCTGCCCAATGTGACCAGTGATCTGGTTTCCGTGATCCTCAACGAAGATCGAGCCATCACCGAACAGCCCATCACCAAAACCAATCTGTTGGCCCTGGAACAGGAGCACGAGGGATTGGAGGGCGAGGAGGACAGCACTCCGGTGCCAGTGTATGAGGAGCCCAAGCACCAAGTGACCAAGAAACAGGGTGTGGAAGACCCACTTCCCATTGAAGTTGCCCCCGAGGTGGCCGAGGAATCAGTTGAAGCGATTCTGCCTTCTGAGGAAACTCCAACTGTTCGCGAAGAACGCAAGTTTGAGGAGCACGATGACGACCTGAATGAGATCAATGAAAACACAATTGAAGGCGATGAGGTGCCAACCAAAACTTCAACTACAGCAGCTCCTTTGGAGACCACTAAATCCGTTGTGGAGCCAAATGAGGAGATCGAGAAGAAGGTGGAAGCCGAGGCCAAGGCAGAAATGGAGGCCCAAGTAGAGGGAATCACTCCTTCGAATGGAGCAAGTGTGGAGGCCGCAGATCCAGATGATATACAGCCCGAAGTTGCCGATACAACTGAGGAGGCAGTCACAGAAGTGGCCAAGATAGAAGAAGAGGAACCAAAGGAAAAGGTTTCAGTTCAAAAGGTCGATCTTAAAGAACTCACAATACAGACATCTTCAGAGGCCAATCATGAGGTGAAGTCCACTGAGGAGGCAGTGAAAGAGGAGAGCTCACCAAAGGTTTTAGTTGAACCCATTGAAGAGAAAGACAGCGAGGAATCAAATGAAAAACCTACTGAGAAAACCGTAATAGACACAAATGATTCCTCGGAGGAAAAGCAGCCCGTTGCGGATGAGGCCAAGTCCGCTTCCGACGACAGCACCGCCACTCCCCTGGTCTCCTATCCACCCCACGATGCTGGCCAGACCTTCGATAGCAACTCGGCGGACGAGCATTCGGCCCAGCTCTCGGGACCCTCGAACTACCGATCCACCCTGATCATAGCCCTCTGCTCCGGCACCGCAGTGATCTTCATCGTGGCCTCCCTGGTGATCTTCGTCGTCTCTTTCCAGCGACAACATGGCACCCTGGACATTGAGATGCAGGAACAGCGCCTGGGCAAGGATGTCCAGGACGAGGACAATGTCCAGATGAAGCTGCTTGATGTGGATCTCTCGACGCCCGTCATTTTGCCCATGGGCAACGAGGAGACCGACGAATGCCTGTAGACTCGCTCAGCACCATCTGATCCCCATGATAAATGGTGCCCTGTAAATATTTATTAACTTGAGAGATTGCGAAGGTGACTTCGGCCTGCTCCTCCGGCTGGCTATTAATTTTGGTTTCCAAATTGTTGACTGAGAGCAGCTGCAAGCAAATCAAACGAAATATCGAATCGAAACGAAATCATTTGCCATACTGTTTAATTTTAAATGCACCTTAGCCCCTAAGATTTTGCAAAAGTTCGACAAAAATATTTATATTTAGACACTTTCTTTAGAGTTAAGCACATTTTTATTGAGTCTGATGAGAAGTCAGAATAAATATTTTCGATTGGTAAAACTTGTAGAGTGATTATGGGATTATGGGTAATATTACACTACAAAAAAAAAACATTCATTTTGATTTAATGTTGCAAAAATTGTTGGTTGCATTTGAGCTAATCAAAAAAATTGAGTATCTAAGACATGAGATAACTAAATAATCCTGGATCCACAAATGTTATTAGAAACAATGAAGGAAGTGGAATTAAGATTGAAACCAAAATGTTTTTAGTATGGGTAACTGGTTACTAACCATGTTTGTCCACTTAAGTTGAACATTTTTTGCAAAAACTTATTAACGTTTTGACATGGTGATAAATGCAAAGTGAAGAAGCTGTTTTTGTCAAAAGTCTTTTAAATGTATATTAACTATGTAAGTGATGGTCAACTAGCAAAAACTTGTTTTCTGCTAACTTCCATGGTTGTTTAAAGTACAAACCCTAATTAGGCATCACTTACACAGTTTAGATACATTTCTTTGATAGTTTTTTACCTCATGTACATTTGTGTTGGGGTGGGAAAAACCTTCGGAAAACTGTTGAATTATGCATAAGACCGATGTGTGATTGCTTTGAGTGCAGTTCACCTACTAAACCCCAAGATTAGACTTCATAGAGGTTAACCAGAAATGATTTACTGCTAAACTACGTAGAAGTCACAAGCCCATGGCACCCGCACGCCTAATTGCTTGTGAGGCGTATTGATCAAAAGCTCATTTGCCACTTGGCGGCGCGCTTCAAAGTGGATTTTTAATTAGTTAATAATAAATCGAGAGCAGGCCGATCCGAGAGCAGAGTGGCAGAGAGAGCGGCGAGATTACTGCTAGCTTGCAACATAATAAATAAGAGCATATTGAACTCCCACCCGCCACTCGGCACTCCCATGTTTTTCAGAAGCCATCGCTCCGCTTTTCATCGGAAAATCGAGTGGCTGTCGCTGTGTGTAAATGAGCTTAATGAGCAGAAAATGAAAAGGCACTCGCTTCGTGACCGAATGAAATAAACAAAGTGATTTCCAGATTAAGAGCTCATCCCATCAATTCGTATGTGTATTTGTTTACGCGGGATTATGCAATCGCCCGCACAGTGGTCTTCGGTTTCCGTCACCCTTTTTTTTCTAAGCAATCAATTTAAAAGCAATAAAATACCAATTGACAGCATCATTTTATCGATTCGATTCCATCGAAAAGAGTCAATTGCCAAACTCAAAACTCCATGGAGAGCCAGAGCTCAACGAAGTCATTTGTGTGCTCCACTTGGCTGGATGAAATGTAAGCCGCACAAAGTTGCCACAAGTCCATTGTAATGGCCGGGATTAGATTGCATGAGAATCAATGGATGGGCGACCACTGTGCTGCAGCTGAGACCGCCGAGCAGAGGAGACTTTTCCCATTTTCTTCCGGACTTTTGTCTGGCGAGCGTCTAACGCTAAAGCTCCCGCTCACGCGCCTTTCGCTCAGCTGTTCCGCCTTTCCTCCGCTTTTCCGCCGCATTTCCTCCGCCTTTTCCCCAAGCAATTATTTTCCCGATTAAACAGTCTATGCATGCATAGACTCGCTCTGCTTCTCTCCCTCTCTCTCTCGCTTTTGCTCACTCTGTGGGTGTGTGCCAGGGCTTTTTTTCATCTGCCACACATTTCGAAAAAACAAAATAGCAACATCAAAAAGTTTTTCAGTTTGCTTGTTGCTTTGCACGCGTGCGGTTCGCTGGGAATTCGCTCCTTCTTCGGTTTATAGTTCCCAAAAAAAAAATAAGATACAAGATAGAACCGTGTGTGTGTGCTCGTCTTTTGAAACCGCCAAAGGTAGATGCTTCTGAAATTCCGCTGCTATTTCGGACAGCTGTGCAAACTTGGTGATATACGCTGCGTATACGCAACGTTGTCAGCACGTCACCCATACGCGCCGTGGTCGGCATGTTATTAATGTGCATTCTCTTCTGCAAGTGCCGTGAATAAAATATTTCAAATTATCCACTTTCTGGCGCTTCGTGACGCTCAAGGTGTGCATTGGCGCAAACTAAAGATTTGATTCAGAATCACCCAACTAACATACATATAGCGAGTGATATAAACAAGCAGATCTATGTATATGCTGGCGGGGGTTCTTGTGATTTATTTTTTGGCAATCCTTCCTAGCCATGTTCTCTGTGTGAGTCAGCGGCTTCTTGCCGTGACCGCGACGGCAGTGAAATCGAAATGAAAGGCGCTGCATTTGTTTGGGAAGAAAACAAATGAGACCACCTCGCTCCCAATTCCGAAAACGAAATGTTCCCCAATTAGAAACGTAAACAAAAGGCCGAATATAACTTTGCGGGCAGGTGTTGCATCCCATCGGCGTGTTTTTCCTATTAACATACTAGACCAACTAGTAACATATAGTGATATAAGTGATATAACCAAGAACCAAGGGCAGCCGGCCAGTTGGCACTGTATGCACATTATGAACCCCATTCCGCCCGCTCATCTGCGACTTGGCAGCACATGCAAATTGAAACATGCGATAACTAGAGCATCATCTGGTTTTGGTGCCAAAGTCAAGCGTATAATTGCCAGCCGGAGGCGGATTACAGGGACACTTGCCACTTTCACATACTAAGTACATAGCATGTAGTTCGAATGTCGATGACGAGCGCCCACAACTTGCCAACAAATTTGCTTAACTTTTATTTAATGCCATTATTTCCGATGCCTTTCAATGGCCTTTCGCAAGCCATATTCATTGCGGTGGCTGGAGGGGCTTTTGTGGGTTGTACTATTTTTACCACATGCATAAGTGAATGGGAATGGGATGTGGGGCGTTTGATTCGCCATATCTGTCGCCAATACCCTGACAATAAAATAGCAAACCGTACAATGGTAGCAGCCACAAATTACCTCTACTATAATGGTCGAGTAACGCCCAGGCGGCGAAATTGTTTTTCAATCGGTCAATTGAAAATTAAATGAGTGAGACGACATCGAAATTAAAACTATTTCTTGGTCATTTGGAAATATATGTTAATGGAAATTGCTTTGGCATAGAAATGGCACACGAAACAATTGACAAAACAAATAAAGTTGTTTTATTGACAGCTTAGCACGCGTTGACTTGGGATGTTTCTCAATCACTCGATCAATCAGTTTTCACTGCCATCTGTGCGTTTGGCAACCAGTTTTTAATTTGCTGCCCTTTTTTAGGTGCCCTATAGGTTTGGTATTAGAGTTCGGAACTTCGGAATCCCCAGCCACCCACTCTTTTCCGACTTTGGTTGCTCATTTCCAGCATGATGGGCTTGATTCGTTCGGCTTTGCCTGCCTTTACGCTTGGTTAATTAAGGCGGCAATTAAATAGATTTGGTTAAGCTACAGAACACAGGCCGAAACAGAATAGTTGCCAAATTGGTGGGCTTTCCATAAAAGAAGAACCGAATTCAAAAGCGTCCCGCGACTAGCGGAAGTTATAAATTCCTAAGCGGGCTGATATCATGGCTATTTATACATATGTCGCCAGCAGATGAGTTATTACCCCAGGGACCACAAGTTGGTCAGACGGTGCACGGCATATCAATTAGAAGAAAGCGCCGGGCGAGGCCATCACCCTTTGGCTTTGGCTTTAGATTGGCATATGTACTTTGCACATATATATATGCAACTCCACCCCGAACTGCCAGCTAGGTGCAACATGTGCCACGTTCCGGTCATTAACCGGAAAAGTGCATCGCTCAGACAATTGGCCATTAGAAAATTCCCATTCCCTTAGCATTCCGACGATCTCGCCACCAACTCAGATCATTAATTGCAACCGTTTGATTTGTTTACCCGAAATAAAAAGAAAAGGAGCCCCTCGGAAACGCAGCAATTCGCAACGCAAAAGTGCAGAAGGCAGGAAAAGCCAATTCGGGCAAACACAAACAATCGCCTCACTTTCGGGCCAAGTTCCACGGACTACGGGACCTCGGGACTACGGACTAGTAAATCGCGGGAAATTTTAAGTGCAAATAAAAACAATGACGACAGCCAAATGGATTTGGCGCTTGGCGCTGAGCATCTTGCTGGGTGAGTACTTCCACTATTAGTATGTTATTTTAAGGCGGACCGATGCCGATGCTGATTTTATGGACTTTTGATCGATTTACGGTATTTTTGGCCAGTTGGGTAAACGAAAAATGAATAAATGTTTCGCACATGGCCCCAGGAACTTGAATTCCTTTTACCCCCCTTCCGTTTTAGCCTTCGATTTGAATTAGAATTCCCCCCCGACACAGTGCGTCATTAAAGTATGCGATCGCCAAATGGCATAATGTTTATTTTTACAAATGCAAAGTCAGCTGTGTCAACTGGATGTTTGCCTGTCATCCCGCCGCCTTTCGGTTTTTTATCGTATTTTCCCTTTAAATCACATAAACTAATTTCGCAGAGATGAGTATGTGGCTATTAACAAGAAAATTAATTCCTAAATATTTCCACTTAAACAAAAGCAGAAAGATAAACAAGAAAATATTTCTGATTCAGTAATGGCGAAGATGGAATGCTCTTGAAAATAGTTTATTTTAATGGTAAAAACTATTCTAAAAGGAAACATTAAAATATCTCTTAATATTATTTCAAAACTTCTATACCTTGAATTGAACTTGAATGTAAATATCTACTTTAATTTTTGCCCTATCATATTGTCGACCATTTATTTTTATTGGCAATTTTTAAATGTTTTACAACCTAAATGGCATGCTGTATTCCATAATCCTTATACCTTCAATGAAACTCGAATGTATATTTTCGTTTTTAATTTTTGGCCTACCATGTTGCCGGTTGTGGCTTAATAAATCAATTGAATATATGTACTTCTTTCTCGGTCCATATGGCAAACATTCGCATACGTTGTTTTTTTTAAGAATTTTCACAAAACTTTGACAAATTGCGCCTGAAAAGTTGGCCGGGATGCTGGCATTCGTTCACTCACTTGTCAGCTGGTCTGTCTTTCTGCTTTGACATCCCAATCACCGAGCAACTGCCTTGCTATATGGTTCAATTGGAAACCCACACCGAGTCGAGCAGAACTTCCATTACGCATACGCAGCGTTGACTCAACTTGGGAGGTTGCAAGCAGGTGGTCCATTGAAAGTGTAATTCAAGCGAAATTTCAGCCTGTCACTGCGGGGATGCTATGTCTCACTTGGGCGAATATCTTTATATATTTAACCATACTATAAGAAAAAGTCAGGCTAACGAGGAGAGCGCGTCGCATGGCCGTTTAACGAGCGTGGGAAATTTGTCCCGCTACCGTGACGCACTTGCTGCTATTTTCGGACCGCTAGTTTGGCCATTAACAAATAAGCATAACGAATTCAGATACTAATGGCAACAATTTAAATTTTATTTATCAACATCTTTTACGACTCGCAAATATTTCGTTTCGTTTTTTATGGCCTTGTTGGATTTGTTTGTTTTTTGCAGTCGTGGGCTTCGTGGCCGCCGAGAAACCAAAAGGCTATCACCGGGAGATTTGCCAGTACCGCAAGGGCAAACATGTGAGTTTGGCTGCGATGAGTGGATATATCTCTTTATTGACCCATCTGTTTTTTCTAGCAGATCCAGCCCATGAGCGCCTACCACAATCGCCTGCTGGCGATGCGCGAACAAATGCTGATTAGGGCCACTCTGCAGGGTCCCGAGATCCACGGCTACATACTGCCCTCCACGGACGAGCATCTCAACCAGGAGGTGGCGTCTCGGGATCAGAGATTACGCTACCTTTCCGGCTACACAGGAGTCCGGGCTTTCGCCGCGGTGACCAGTGGTGGAGCAGCCATTTGGCTGGAGAACCGCTATGCCCAGCAGGCTGATGGAGAACTGGAATGCGACTGGGAGATCTATCTGACCAGCGGGAACGTGACTGTGGCCGATTGGCTGGGGAGTCACATTCACGTCGACCAAAGGGTGGGCGCCGATCCTCACCTGGTGCCCCACGCCCTGTGGATCCAGTGGGAGCGTGAGCTAGACGATAAGCTCCTCAAGCTGGTCAAGATCAATACCAATCTGGTGGATCACATTTGGGGCAACGAGCGGCCAGAAGTGCCACGCAACCAGGTGATCCAGGTGCACGAGAAGCGGTTCAACGGCGAGAATTGGCAGGACAAGGTCAAGGAGCTGCGGAGGCGACTGGCCCACCTGGGTTGCGATGCCATGGTGGTCACCTCGCTGACCGAGGTGGCCTACCTGCTGAACATCCGGGGCTCAGACATTCCCTACACGCCAGTGGTGAAGGTAAAAACACCTATCTAAACCTACTCTACAAATATTACAAATATCCCACTGGGATAAAAACCAAAATAAATTAAATTAAATTAAAATTAAATATATCTTCCCTTCACAGTCCTACGCTATTGTCAGCCAGGATGATATATTCTTCTATGTGGACCACGCCAAGATCAGTCTGGGCATTGATCTTCATCTGCGCACCGACTGCTTCAATGAAGATTGTGTCAAGTAAGTAGATATTCTTTCAAAGGCTTCTAAATTCCTGAATTATTCTGTATGATCCCTGCAGGATTAAAGAGTACAATCAGATTTGGAGTGACATCCGCACGTATGCTCAGATCTGGAAACGAGTCCTGGTCTCCGCACCCTGTGTCCAAGATCTGGGCGCCTCGGAGGCGATATACACCTCGATGCCCGGGAAAATCGTCGTTTGGGAGATCTCACCCATTATCTTTATGCGGGCGCAGAAGAATTCCGAGGAGCAGGCCGGAATGAGGAGGGCACACATCCGGGATGGAGCGGCCATTTGCGAGGCGATGAGCAACATGGAGACGCGGTTCCACACGGAGCAGTGGACCGAGGAGAAGATCAAGTACGAGGTGGAGCTGTGGCGGCTCTCGCAGAAGCACGCCAAGGGTCTGTCCCTGCGAACGGTGGTCGCCTATGGCGAGCACTCCGCCCTGCCCTACTACATCTCCAGCAACGTGACCAACATCGAGGTCTCCGACCAGAGCCTGCTGGTCATCGAGTCGGGTGGTCAGTATCTGGAGGGCACCACCGATGTTTCGAGGACTTTCATCTTTGGCGAACCCACGCACGAGATGAAAAAGGCGTACACGAGTGTGCTGGCTGGGATTCTGCACCTGGCACAGCTCAAGTTTCCCTCGGATCTGAAGCCATCCGAGGTGGACGCCCTGGTGCGCAGCATGGTGTGGAAGGACATGACGGACTATCCGCAGGCCACGGGCCACGGCATTGGATCCTTTAGTTCCGTGGAGGAACGTGAGTAGTTATGTCTCTTGATTTGATTGATTTTAGAGGGTTTTCTCCTTCCAAACAGCTCCTATATCAGTTGCCTATGGCAAGAACAGCAGCTTCCACTTCAAGCAGGGCTACTTCTTCTCCAGCGGTGAGTTATTATTAGAATTATCTATTATTATTGAACCTAATCAAATATTTACCCGCAGAATCTGGCTACTATAAGCGCAATGACTTCGGCGTGCGGCTGAAGAACGTGCTCGAGGTGGTGGACACCGGACACACGCATCCCAGCGGAGCACACTTCCTTGCATTCCAGGACGTCACCATGGTGCCCTACGAGCCCAAGCTGATCGACAGCACGCTGCTCAGTGCGGCGGAGAAGCGGCTGCTGAACGAGTACAATGCTAAGATCCGGAACGATGTGGGGGATGAGCTGAAGCGACTGGGCAACATGCGCGCCTTCTACTGGATGATGAACCAGACGCGACACATCCGGGAGTATCTGCCGGAGGACGAGTACCGCTCGGCGACGGGCGGAGCAAGTGGAGGCCTCACCACGACAAGTCCTTTGATAGTTTTTCTTCTACTGATCATCCTTTTCGGGATCCTCTTTGCGCAATCCTAGGACCCCGGGGTTTTTAGTGTACACTGTCTGTAATTATGTAGATCTAGTTAGCTATGCAAATTAAACGAGAGAATCTGGGACTAACATGAAATCGAACCAATCAATAACTGCAACTGTTAGTATTTTAGTAACCTCATTTGGCCCTAAACATCGAGTTTAGATTTAAATCAATTAAAGTCGCACCCTGCCACCGGCCACCAAGTTTTCCCCGCTTAGTAATAGGTATTCACTCAAACCAAATACGTAAAATGAAGTGTATAAAATCTTAAATCGTAATTGACCAAAAATATGTTAAAACTGTTTACATTATTAATACTTTGTCTGTATACTTAAGAAATAACATTGTATATTTTTCTAAATATAATTTGGAAAGTAAGACTCTGAGTTTTTATACCCCACTTTTACATGAAGCTCTTTTGGTGGACTGAATTTTGATAGCATACTTTTTTGCATATTGGGAAAATATTATGGCTGCTAACAGTGCTGCCATTTTGTCCATTTTCCGGATAGAAAACAATCATGGTTTCTCCTTGAAAATCTGACTTTTAACGAAGAAACAGGAAGTCGTTGGATAAGTTGCTATTTTTAATCAAAATTAGAGGAGAGAAAAAGGAAAGATAATAAAATTCTTATTATTTTAATCGTAGTAAAATTAATTATTCGAAATTTATCAATTTATATTATTGCCCCCTTTTCCTTAAACGGAAAATTATAAGGATTTATGGATTAAAGGTTGACGACCCAATGTATATACAGCATCCTTTCTTTGGTTTTTTTCAGAAAGTGGCAAAAATGACAGTAAGAAAAACTGTTAACACAACTCTGGAACTTAACCGCTTAATCCAGTCAATAGCCTCAATAGAACATGTTTAAAATTAATTGTAAGCTGATTTAATAAAGCTGTCTTGCAGCATCTGCCAATGCATCAGATTAGCACATCGGAGATTACTCAACCTACTTCGTAATGAGACAATTTCTATAAAATAGTTATTCAACGGGTGTAATCCCATCTTAAAATGCTTTCCAAATGTCCCCAATGGCTGTCAAATCCAGTTCAGCACCTGGCTGGCAGACAGGCGACTTGGGATTGACAAAGTCCGATCTCAAATGGGTCATAGCACGCAAGGAGCCAGGCCGTTTACGGTAAATGGTATTCCATGGACTCATCTATCTGCTAAATCCCCCGAATCGAACTAGAACAGATCGCCTGGCCCAGTTTTGCGTTGGCAGAAAGGAGTCGAGATGAAAACCTCATCTTTTGTGGGTTGCACCAGAACCTGACACTTGTTCTGAAAGATTGACCCATTTTTTCCGAGTGGCCCGAGCCAGCGAACCTGTTTCGATTCCAGCCTGGCTGGATGGGATGGCATGGAGATGGCATGAATATGCGCGGCCAAAGTTATCGACGGCCTGGCCAAAACATGAATTAATTTGGCCCGGGTGGCTGGCCCCGCGGAGCTGCAGCCTCGACCGCAACGCCATCGTCTGTCTAACGGTGCACTCGAATATTGGCCAGAGATTTGCCTTGCGAATGGGCACGCGGCAATTTGGGCCACTGTCCACGCAGGTTTTTCCACTTTTCGGCAGCAGAAACTGGGCCTCGAGATCGAGTCAAGGTGGACGGGCGAGGCAAATCCGACCTGACCTGCTCCAAAAACGCCGAGGACTCCGTTTTGATTGGGGGATATGTTGCATGTGAGTGGGACATGGATGTCATGAATAAGAAAAATGTCAAACTGTGTATAAATGGGTGCGAATAAAGTCGATGTGAGTAATGGTAATCTTATGAAATGGTAAATAAATCTAGCAATTCCAGAGTTATTTAATTCACATACTTAAAAATATTAAGAAAATGCTTTAAAAATAAATTAAAAGGTGTAAATTATTGTTTTTTGATATCCTAATTCGTATTTTTTAACACTTTTTTCAAAATATTTACCTAGCTTAAGAAATTTCAGAGAATTATTATTTGTGTGTATATTAAAGTTTTGGGTAAGCCAATTAAATATTAAATATGTAGGTCATTCACAAAACAAGTTTTTAATTGTACTAAAATATTACATTATTTTTTTCAATATCCCCTATAAATAATAGTTTTTAATCTCCTCAAAGTTTACTATTTAGTGAAATCAATTAAGTAAACATCATTTCCAAAGCACTGGCTTATTTGCAAAAGGGAAGAGTTATTTAGTTAGCAAACTCATGTGACTTCTGTTGACTTAAGCGTGTCAAATTGGCATCATTAGTGTCGTACTTAGGATCACCAGACGCCGCAGGTTCCGACTGCTGTCCGAACTTTTGGCTAATCCACTTCGGCTGAAGTCAGTCGTCGGTTGTCAGCACTTTTGTTTAGCCAACTGCACGCATGCGCAGAAGCCAAAACAAAACTGGCCACTGCACCGGCCACATTTGTTTGTCCATCTCTTTCTCCAGCGAAGTCCCCGTCTCTTTCTTTGGTCTTCTCATCTTGAGCTTGGCTTTGGGAGTCTTCAAATTGGCCTGCCGCAGTTAGTCTCGTTATTGACTTCGCGCACTCCGGTCGCTGGCTCGGCTGCTGAGTTTTCCACACACCATTTTCTCGGCTGGAAAATGCAAATTACGAACGAACGAAAGTGTTGTCGCCTACTGAAGAATAGGAACGTGACCGAGTCATTGGGAAAATAAGCAGAATTTGTACTTTGATTGCGGGGCTGGCGAAGAAAGTTTTGCCTGTTTCATTGCTCGCTTAAATCGAGACCAACATTTAGCAATTTAAGATCTCTCGAGTGTAAAGTGATTTTGTATGATATGAATAGTGTGTCGAGGAGAAGCCAAAGAAGGTAAGAGGTTATTCGCTTAAGGGTAGATAATAAACGTGCATTAATCATACGACCTGTGCGCAACACAATTCTTGGTAATCTGTATTTAGGGCAATTATTTCTGTTCCTTCCAATTAAATCTCCGAACCTATCCTAATTACCCGAAGAACAACATTCTCCCAGCCGAGAATGGCAAATATAAAATGGACATGGACTTCAGGTGTCTGCGTTGACAACCATATAAGCCTTGTTAGCAGAGCGGCATACGCTTATTCGATTAGCGGGATTTACGGCCAACTGCAGATGTTGGTAGCTTCTTGGCGACGACACTCGCCACTCGAATCAAGATCGACAGGCCATTTTTCCTGCTAAACTCGTTCAGGCTTCCTACTTACCACCGGGCTTTGTCCGCTGGCCGCAATTGTTGTCCGCGCGCTTCTTTCTTCTTTCTAGGAGGGATCTCGGCTTTTCTAGCAATTATCTTCAGATTTTCTCCTCGACGATGGGGCTGCGTGACAGGTCCGCGGTTCAGAAACTGGAGCATCGATGCGCAGTTTATTTCAGCTGCTATGCAACTCGTTTCCACTTCTGAAGGTGGGTCACCGTCGCAGTCACAGCCATAACTCCTCTCGACTGGATCCCCGAGTCACAGCTCACAGACACGTCTGTTCTGCGATGGATGCGGCCATAATCGTGCGTTGAGCCATTTCCAATCACCAGTTTACCGCTATCGAACAATCTCTTTATCGGGACGCTAGAATGTGCTAATGAACCATTCTAATGCACTGCAGCATCGATTCAATTGTCGGTCATATAACCGTAGACAGTCCATCATTGCCTTGAAATGTTATAACTATCTTTGTGTGCCAATTAAAAATCAAGCTGAGGAGAGGTTCTTAAGAAAATTACATAGTATATTCTAATCTATATTCTATAAATATGCCACTTCACTAGCCAAAAAGTAAAGAAAATCTTTCCAAGAATTTCCAAGAAAGATCAAAAGTTCAAATACAACACAATCAAGTTTAATGATTAACGTGGAAGTTTAATAATATCTTTCTTTAGAAAATCTTTCCAAGAATTCATAATTCGAATTGAAATTGATCTATAGAATATTAGATAAGATTGAAGAGAAATATCAAAAGTTCAAATAAAGCTCATTCAAGTTTAATGACTAACATGGAAGTTTAATATCAAACTGATTATGTTTTTTTTTTCAGTGCTAGCATATTAGCAATTATTGCCCCGCTGGTTCGTCCAGACAGCCATTCCAACCAAAAATAGAAACAATTACATTAATCCACAGTCAGAAGCAGCTAGCCCTTAATTTGGCCAGCGGCCTTAATGGTCAGTGGCATCGCACCTCGTAATTATGAATAGCAATAAAGAAAATCTATTTTCTCGTACCTACCGAGAAGTGCAAACTTTCCCCGTGAACGCGATAAATGACAAGAAACCAATTATCTGGCCAGCCAAGAATTAAGATTTTATCTTATTGGGAGGAGGAACGGCACTGGGCCACAAAGAGCACAGTTAGTTAACAATCAGATGGTGTCAATGCGGGTACTCAAAGTCCGACTCCCTTCCGTTTGTTTTCTGTTTTTTTTTTTAAAGATCAGGGTGCGGAAAGCTGACCCACAAGGCACGCGCCATTTGACCTGAACCCAAGGTAATTTAAACCTATTTAGCACCCACTTCAGAGAGTAGAACGGTGTTGAAGGGGCCAATTAAAAACTTCGACTTGTGCCATAAAACATTTCGAGCTGCGAAGAATTTCGGACAGAATTTTCCCGGCTTTATACGGGGCCTTTAAGCCATGGACTGTGGCCATGTGGTATGCAAATGCAAATGTTAATGGCAATTTATGGCGCAGAGTTCATGAGCAGCGCCTCGCGTCACGCTCTTTTGGGCAATTTCTTTGCTGGATTTCATTATCTATGTAAGGGGCATTGTTCGGTAAAGTGTCCATAACGCCGCCTGTCCAAAAGATGTTCATGGCTAGCCTCAATTTATCAGGAGTTTGTGATTATATAAAAACACCTTTTTGCATAACTGAAGTGGATCAGTCTAAGGGAGTTGCAAATTACAGATAACCAAGGAACAACTTTATTTTAAGCCATGTCTTACGATAGTAAAATAGCAAAACGAGTGACAATACAAACAAGGAAGTCCACTGATGATGGCCAACTTAATGCCAATTATATAAAACGAAAACACCACGAGTCTTTAAGATCTTAATGAGTAGCTTAGGATTCGAAATCCACACCTCTAAGGGTCAGTGGTCGTGATCTTGGCCAAGTCACGTAGCCAGATCGTAAAGCAAAGTGTCCAAGTGCTTCTGCAAATTTTACAAAGGGGATAAAAAGCGCGAAATTAATTTCTTTTTAACCACCCGCTGGTATCAAAACCCAACCGCTCCGGCTCGTGAAAAGTGAATCGCTATTGTTAGTTGGATGAGGGGGTTGTGGAAAGGGGGGGCAGGCGAGAAATGGCGTAATGAGTAGCACAATGTGACAATTGTCGTGTATTTTTCAAGACTCATTTCGGATTCGGGTTCGTGACGCAACTGCCAGGCGGC